CACATTCCCGCTTACAATTTGGCCCTTTATTAGTTTTAATGGCAGTTGGGGTATTAATATTCTCACGTTCTTTTCATTCTCTCAGTTTACTTAGGTCATATAATGTACTTTTTATTTTTATATTTTAAATGAGTGCTAGTATATATATATTTGGCTAAGTTTCTACTTGATGAAAAATATTCGACACAGTTATTACTTTCTTGCAATCTTGCATAAGGTTTTAGTTGAATGCATTGCTTTGATTTGAGACAGAGGCTGGTTGAAGATGAGATGGAAACGGTGAAGGGGTTTGCGAAAGAATCTACAGTTCCTTTCAGAGAGAGGCTGAAAATCATGGCCGGGGTGGTTAATCCAGAGGACCTCCACTTGAGTTCTGCTGAAAGAAAACTTTTGCAAGCTTATAATGAAAAGCCCGTGCTCTCACGCCCTCAACACGCTTTCTATAGTGTAAGTTATATTCCACTTTTTACTTTCATATGACATTCTATATATTTGCGAAGTATTCAAAGTTTTTTGTGGACGTAAAAGGACCAAGTAAGGATAGAAACTCATAAGCTGCTTGTTTGGCTACAGACATTTTATTAGTTTGAGTGTTACTGTGTTTTACATCAAGATTAATATTATCCTTTTTTCTTTTCTTTTCTTTTCTTCAGGGACCAAATTACTTTGAGATTGACCTTGATATACACCGGTTTAGCTACATATCCAGGAAAGGACTTGATGCATTCCGAGAAAGGTTAAAATACGGAATACTTGATTTGGGCTTAACTATACAGGTACGGTTATATCTCAAACTTTTCCAATCTGAAAATATCGCAAGTTACATAAGAATAAAAAGTTTAGTAAAAAAATGATATGCCTCTAATCTTTCGGAATTAGGACTAAATGCTTTTTTTTTATTATTATTATTTTTTTTATTTTTATCATTTCACTATACTGACAGGCACAAAAGCCAGAGGAGCTGCCGGAGAAAGTCATGTGCTGCGTGCGGTTGAACAAAATTGATTTTCAAAATCATGGTCAGATACCTAGATTTGTAATAGTAGAGGATGATATATTTGGATCAGGAACTGGAGAGTCATGCATTTAATGTTACAACAGTTCAATCAATTTTTGGAACCTCGTAAAATTTGAACCACGATTCAATTTTATTTAAATGAAAAGGGGAAAAGAGAGTAAAAAGAAAAGTTACCCCTTTTAAATTTAAAGTTTTTATTATTGCCTTAATTTAATGATCTACATTTGTTAATCTTTGGCTTAGCCTATGAAATGCATTGCACTGGCTTCATTTAAGAAGTGAGTTGAATTTTTAATTTTTTAATTTTTTAACTATTTTAGTTTGGGGTTAAAAGGTTTTGTTTGCATTGAACTTTTTGACTTTTTTGACTTTTATGAAAAAAAAATAAAATGATTATAATTTTGATATGACATTTTACCTAATTGATTTTTTAACTTATTTTGTCTTTTTGTAACTATTTTAACCTAGTAACTCCAAGAATTAACATGCCAAACGAGGGCACTTTATCGCGTAGTGGTGAGACTTAAAATTAGGGATGAGCAGCGGATATTTTGATCCGTCCAAACCAATCAAACCGAATCGATGTGCCGCACTTTAGACGGATACGTATTGACGAGCAGACGGTCACGGATTGATTTTTTTTCAATCCTCCTAGTTTTGGACGGATGAGGGATTTGATATTCATTTGGCCGCAACTGAACAGTCAAATCGCGAGCACCCTTAATAATTTGTAAGATTTTGTATTTTTAATTTATTTAGATATTTTATTTGTATTTTCAATTGAAAAAAAAGTTTAGATATTCTATTATGTTTTCAATTTGTTTTTAATTTGAAAATCTTTTTATCAAATGGTAAGGGTTGACATTTGAAATTTTTGTATAGAAAAATAAGACTTAATTTTATCATTTAAAAAAAAATCAAATTAAATAATTTTTGAATAAAAAAAAGTAATGAAATAATTTTGATTATGCATAATTTTCTTATATATATTTAGAAAAATGAGTGAGATCCCCTTTTTGAAGGATCTCACAACCCCCAAAGTGATCCACATCCACACCACTCATCATGTGTGAGCCCACTTATGTATGTGTGGAGCCCATATCATGAATGGTGTGGATCACTTTAAGGTCTATAGAGGTCTTACAAAAAAGAGTCTCTATCATTGTTGATATATTTATTATTAGTGTTTGACAATTTCCTTAATAATCTTTTGAGTATGTTGAGTTAAATTGTTATCTAAAAAAAAATATTGACAAGTTATATTATATTCAAAATTTGTAAAAGTTTAAACCGTTATTCGTATCCATCCGTCAATTCGCTCAACCCGCATCCATCAATTTCGACGAACGGATACAAATTAATTTTTTTCAATCTACTTATCCTACAGACGAATGACAGATTAAAAATTTTCAGACCCGAACCCCAACACTCTCACTACTTAAAACCCCTAACATTACGTCACTTAAAACGAAAACAACTCATCCACAGGCCAGATTAATGGAGGACTTGAGAAACTATTGAAAGTTTCATTGGTCCAATAAGTAGGTTTTTTCTTTTCTTTTTGCCATGAATAAAAAAAAAATTATTTTTTTTTTTTTTTTTAAACAAAACCGTGGGCCCAGGAAGACACCAAAGCCCACGTGAATCACTTATGCAGAAACAACATCAACATCGAGCTAATCGGTCCCACGTGAGACTTGATCCACGCATACCAATGCTTACTTTTTGCTTACAAAACCAGCTGGATATATAATGGCCAATATAATATATCATACTATAACAATATAATATATTATAGTGAGGAAGTGGGTCTAGTGGAGAGAAAGGGACCAGAGAGAGAGAGAGATTGGGGAAAAAGAAATGCAACAGTTTGATTTCATGTAATCGAAGCACCACATAAGAAAAGCAAAAAAGAAAGAAAGAGAAGATTGGTTTAAAAATAAAAAAAAAAAGGTATGGGTATGTGCAAAAGGTGGTGGATGATGGGTTGGAAAGTGGTCAAAGTGGTGGGTGTCCTTGAGTAGAGAGAGAGAGAACCCGTGCATGGCTGTATGCATGTGTCTGGGTGTCTTGCTGCCGTGTGTGCCTGTGGATGCATGTGCCGTGGGTATGAGTGTGTAGGTCAAACAAAACAATTTGATCAGCCTCGCATGACTAGGGAGGACTGAGAGTGAGATATAGAGAGAGTGTGTGGGTATGGGTGTGGACCGTGGTGTGGAAGGAGCTCAGTGTGTGTCTGTGTGAGAGTTGTCAATGGTGTGCATGTGTTGTGTGTGTGCCGTGTGTGATGTGGGAAGAGAACCAGCCCCCCTAATTTGATACACAACATGCACTGAGCTGTCTGAGGAGGGATCGGACTAGAGTGGAGAGACCGACACGGCGGCTGAAGGAGGCGGCCGGAGAGGATTTTCCGGCGAGCCGGTTGTCGGAGGAGAGGTGATGATTTGATGTAGTTGGAGGAGGGCATGATGTGTTTGGTGGTTTTGGAGGAACTAGGTCTGGGAAGGGTGGTGAGTAGTTCATGTTTTATGGTATAGAGAGAGAGATTTTTTTTTTTGGTTTTCTTGAGTTTGATAGTGTGATCAGGAGGCCACTGATTAGTATTAGTACAGCAAACAAAAAAAAAGAAAGAGAGAGAATTGCTCAAGAAAAGGAGAGAAAGGCCTGGTCTTAGCCCATGTGTGTTGGTGTGTGTGAGAGAAAGCTGTATGTGTGATGCATGGTCTGTGTATCAGGCTGTGTGGCAGTGATTATCAAAGCTTGTTGGAACAACAGTGATAGGAGAGGCTTGGGGTTGATGATTGAGCTGATGAGGATGTTCACGGTGGCAGATGCGGTGCTTCTGCGGCTGCTGTTGCAGTGATTATTGGTGGTGGTCGGAGTGTTGCTGGTAGTAGATGAGAAGATGGAGCAACCGAGGTGAGTGAGGAGGAGGAGATGACAGTGGCGCACTGGTGGCAGCAGAAATGGAGGGTGGTTGGAGGAATTGGACCTGTTGAATTGGTTGAGATCCGGCGGGCGGTCAAGGCAAGGTTGCCGCCCGCCGGAAGGCGAAGAACACCAAGATCTTTAACCTATAGCTCTGATACCATATTAGTTTTATGTATAAAGAAAGAGAAAGAATTGTGTATTGAAATGTTGTATTGAATGTTGTGTATATAATGTGAAGGTACCTCTCCTTTTATAGAGGGGAGAGTGTTACAAAGGGGCCAAAAGAGCCGAAAGAAGAAAACATAATTATTAAACACTTTACATATTATATTCTAACAGCTTTGTTTGAGAGAGAGAAAAGAGATCCGCGTGGGTTGGATTTGAGTTCAAACCATGCCGGAGGAGTATTTTTGTAGGGATAAAACATTTCTCTTTTTTTAATTTGATATATAACTAGAGTTTTGCTATTTAAGATATAAAAATAAAAATAAAAATTATTTTCAATTTTTAAGTTTAATGATATAGCAATCAATTAGAATATTAATGTGATATTTGTTTGGAGGAATTGAGTCATGTGATTCATATCCGGTGGATGAAATAGTCTGTTATTTGGCTCAAAAATTTTGCACCAGAACATGAATTCCTAATATATGGGAGGTGGGACACAAATCTTTGGATAACTCATCCTATGGGATTAGATAGTAAAATTACATTTTTGACCTTCTATTATTTAATATCTTTTTTAAAATAAAATTTATTTATTAAATTATTTATACTTAGTAAAATATAAATAATTATTTATTTTAATAATCATATGGTATTAATTATACTTAACATTTGTTTGGAAAGTATGTTGGGTTTTTGGTTTTTTGACTATTTTAGCTTAGGACTAAAAAGCCTGGTTTGGAAAGGGCTTTTGGCGTTTTTGACTTTTTTGACTTTTTTGTGAAAGAAAGAATGTAATGATTATGAGTTGAATGTGATATTTTGTCTTATTAGGTTAAAAAATTTCTTTTGTTTTTTGTGCTAAAATAGCCAAAAAAGTCCCAAGTTGGGCTTCCCAAACAAAATAGTAAAGTAACATAAAATTTAAAAATCTCAACTACAAATTAAAATAAATTTATGTAATTTTTTTAATTTTCTATTTATTTATTTTTTTAAAAGTTCTAGTAAAAAAAATTAAATAAAATTTATAATTCTGATTTAATATTCCTATTATTTAGTAAGCAATTCAAAAGGGCAAAATAGTCTTTTGATTATTTATCGTTCTCCATAATATCTCAAACAAACATAGGATTCCATATAATAATTTAATTCAGACATCTAATCTCTTGATCAAACAAACATAAAATACAAATCTGTTTAACCAAATAGTTCGGAGACAATGTATCCTAGGACTAACAGTCTGGTGAATTATAATCCACCTTTTCTAGTCCGTCCAAACTAACACACTTTAAAGGTAACACCCTCTCTCATATTTTCTTTATTTATTAACTAATTTTATTACTTACATATCATTAAATTTGAAAAATAAGTCTAAATTGTAGTTTTATATATCATTTTTCATATAATTATTGTGATATATGGGAGTGTTTTGGAAAAATGATTAAAAGTTAAGCTAAGTTGGCATCTTAAAAAAAAAAATCAAAAAGTCAAAAAGCTACTATCCTATTTAAGTCATATCATCTTATTTAAGTCACATCACCTCTCTATCACATCACTTCAAACCCAACCTATATTTTATTAAAAGTCAAAAGTGCACTTATTTCGAACATCCCAAACAACCCCCAAAATTTTTTTAACTTTTAACCAAACTTTTTAACTTTTTTAGAAAGTCATTTGGAAATTTGATAAAAAATTGTTTTCTGACTTTTTTTAATTAATATTTGTTTATACTGTCACATCACATTTAAATAATCAAAATACTCCTATCCAAAGGATTTTGTCCTAGCCACAAATGTAAACATATAAGCCATGGTTATTTGGACGGACTGGATTAGGTTGGATTAGCATTCCCATGATTAATAGTCCTAGGACTATGAATCCTTTAGATTGTGTATCATATCTTATGTTTAGATTGAGTTAGGATTATAAGAAGTGACTAATAGTCCAACCTTTGACTTAATCCTCCAATTTATATTTCACCATCTTCTATGGGATTGAATAGTTCATCATATGTGGGATACCATATCCGGATGGATTATTAGTTCGTACTTCAATTGTTTAATCAAATATCGGATTAATAATTTTATTAGACTATTAGTTTAATCCCAAGCTCATGTCCACTCAAACAAACATGGCCATAGGGTACAACTGTAATTTCACAAGTAGCTTTTAGCTACTTTCTCAAATGATTTTGGTGTTAAAAAAGTCAATTTTTAACTTTTTTGACAAGTTACAAAATGCAAATTTTATTTTTCTTCCCAAATGACACCACAAAGCAGGGGTGTGTGTGTGCGGTGCGGTGCAATTCGGACAATTTAAGAGTAAAATTACAAATTGAATGGCGGATTGACGTATTAACAAATTGCGGTTTGGACGGTTTTTGATGGATTGAAGAATATTTTAACTAATTATCATATATTTACGTAATACATAACACTAATTTGTATAATATTAACACAGAATAATTTTACATAATATATTTCATATATATAATTACTAATTTGTAATAAATTTCATATCTTAAATTTCTCTCACACTAATTTTATTCTGATATTTTATTAAAAGTTAAAAAATATATATGTATTAACTATGACAGAACAGAGCGATTTAAAAGATAAATTATAAAATTTAAAATTTAAACCAATAATTAAAGATAAACTGTGCAAATTAGTGTGAATTAATATAATTTAAATAGATTAATCGATATTTTTACACCGTCCTACCACAAAGTGTCCTCTCGCAAGTATCATGCATGTTGTGCTTGTTTCTATCAGTGCTAAGTTTTGTTAGGAGCGTGTACCACACTCGTATAAGAGTCGTACTATATTAAAAAATACTATAATATTAATACATTAGAAATATCAACTCAAAAAAAAAATAGACATAGATGGATTAAAATTTAATATCACATTATTAATGTATTATTAGAACATCTTTCTAATTGTTCTAATTATTTTTTTTAATTTAATTAATTAGGAGTGTAGAGTGGAGTAGGAGTCTGAGTTGTAATTCGGTAGGGTCCTCGAGGTGGAGTACAGTTGACTAGGGAGTCCCTCTGAGTTGTTCATGTCCATGAATCATGTGCGTCATCTACCAATAAAAACTCTTTGGTCAGCTGTCTATGCTGAGATCAAGATCAACACTGCGCAATTAGTCCGTCTTATGGTGTTTTTTTTGGTATCGTTTTGATAATTTAAATAATTAATATTTAAGAATTTCATCAGTATTATATTTACATAAAAATTATGTTGATCAGACATTGATAATTATTTGATCAGATTAAAATTTTGTCAATCGTTTATTTTTTTACGTTTATATTTTTTTAATACAAATCGGATCGATCAAATAATATCGGTATTCGTCATGTGATTTTT